AACAAGCGACGAACAGCTTCAAACTGCTCTTGTTGAAGAATGCGATTCTGTGTCAAAAAACGAAGTCCGGTTACTTATTTAGTCGATGCCTAGGAGATTTAAGGCCTTCCGCAATACCAGAGGAAGTAACAGGCGTTATTAAGAGCAAAACTGGTTAATAAATTGCAAATTAAATTTTAATCCAACACTAAATGATTTTCTAGGGTTTTGGTGAATTTACTTTCAAACCACATAATTAAATCATTTTTATTAAAACTAAGGAATTTTTGATCTCGTTTAATTTAGTTTACAATAAAATAAGTATGGTGTAATAAATACACTTCCCCTAAAAACAACCGACCACCCGATTTTTACACGAAAATATGGTCAACTTTGGAAGTGGAAGGTAACCAATTGAAAGCTTATTAAAATTTCCTATCCTGACTCCTCAGCTCAATTTGAAGTTTTCGTAAAAAGTACAAAAATTAGCATGTTCCCGAATTTTTGAATTTACTGAAGGAGGACTGAAGATAGGAAAACCTTTTTAAAGAAACCATCTTGTTCGGCGTAAAATGAAACAACGAAGGTTTTGAGTTAAAAGGCTATGAAAATATGCATTTTCAAAGATGGCAATTTTTTCATACAAAAACCATAAGGTCGGTATTTTTATTTATTTATTTTATTATTTTTTGATGGGCAGTGTATAAACATAAAAATACTTACAGTTTAAAATAAATAACCAAATACGCGTGTCCGTTTTTATATTTGATAGTATATTGCAATTATTGCTTTAAACCAGATTTTTTATTATTATTACTTTATGAATCAATCGTAAACCTTAGCTTACTGAAATTTAGAAAAGATTTTAATAGTTTAAAACTTATACCTTTTTATGTTCATTTACACGTATGTAAAAATTGGTTTCGTACTATCTTTGGTATTATCTTTCAATTTGGCTTTAGGTATGGTCTATTTGTAAGAGAGTTTTAAATTTTCAAAAAATTTCATTTTTGTTCTGATAACATTTATTTTCTAGGCAAATTCAACATAAATATTTCCTGTTCCGCATCGGACAAAGAATAATTTGAAATCAACACACACGATTAAAAAAACAGGCACTTAACAAGCTATTTAAAATGCTTTGCTACCTTCGAAACCGAGATCAAAATTACGATTAAAATCAAAATTTTCGATCTGTACGTGTGCCAAGTTTATGGGTCGGTCAAATAGTTCAATATTCAAAGTTTTCACAGTTTACAATCAAAGATTATACGACTAATCGTTCTGCCTCTTCTTATGTAAATAATAACACAATTCACAGAGATCTTCACGTGTCAACTGTTTTTTAATCCACCAAAAACCTGTTACAAACGTTTTCACAGTAATTTGAAAGATCATCCAACCAGACAAATACATTTATTCGAAAGTCCACAGTCACCCTCGTACACGATTGAAAATAATATGAACCACAGAGACCTATTAAATGAAGACCAGAGCCCGATTAATGTGATTAATGGCAATGGTTAACTCCCTATATAATGCCAATTAATGTCACATGTCAAAATTAAATCCAACGTGCTAATTATGTTAGTACTTACATGATGCAGAGATAAATAAATAAATTTTTTAAAAATAGTTATCTTCGGAGGGCCGGATCGTGGTAGTCAACATTCAGGCATTTTAATGTATAATAATGTAAATATAATGAAGATATTATAATTCCAAAAATATATAAAAAGAAATTATCATAAACATATTCTATAAACTGCGAATATCATCATGGGAATTTTATGTTAACGGAAAAATAGACTATATTATTCATGAAAACAGAATTGATTATTGGATACTTCAATAATAGTAGTATATATAAACGAGTGTTATTAATAATTCAACATCGTACAGAACAATACCACTCTCTCTCTCTCTCTCTCTCTCTCTCTCTCTCTCTCTCTCTCTCACTCTCTCTCTCTCCTCTCTCTCTCTCTCTCTCTCTCTACGGAACTTTCATTTAACGGCTTCCTTGATAGGTAACTCCAAACAGTCCGTAATGTAAGGGTGAGCTCTAAAACAGTCATCCGGGGGCTTCGTGAGAATAGNGAGTGTTATTAATTCAACATCGTACAGAACAATACCACCAAATCTCTCTCTCTCTCTCTCTTTCTCTCTCACTCACTCTCTCTCGCTCTTTCTCTCTCTCTCTCTCTCTCTCTCTCTCTCTCTCTCTCTCTCTCTATATGGCTCATCGGATCGACTTTTTTTTTACATTTCATATGTCTGTCCTGATGAATTTCTTCCTTTTACACCAACATCCAAACAAACTTGCTATCTTGGTATCAATAATAATGTGCATTAAGAACAAACAAATATTTGATAACACTTTAGGTTTAAATATTAAATGATGTTTATATATTTTTCCCAACGGATATGAAATATTATATTATACGGAATATTAACGGATAAAACAATTGCCATTTTTGGATCTTTCAGTTGATCCGTTTAGTAAATCGCACAAAACAATAAAAGTGCTTATATACTTTACCGTCCGTCATATTCGACGCAAATTTTTATAGATTACGTTATTATCTAAAAAAAAATTTTATCTTTATATTTTAGTAACAAATATGTAAAAGAATGGGGGTACGATAGTAGTTAGGAATTGTTATAACTTAGGTGCTTTTTCACATTCCTGAAAAGAGCGATTTTCTCTTCGATATGTTATTGATAATTCAGACAAGGGATATTGATAAATATAAACATCTGTTAAACAAAAAGAAAATAAAGGGATTGCCGAGGTGACACTTAGTACGCGTAGTACACGGCGCATTGGATACTCACATCACGACAGTATCGTCTTGCCGGTTTCCAGTTTATAATCAGATTAAAATTAAGGCAAAATGATCAAACAAAACAATGATGGTTAAACAACCAGTTCCAATTATGCCGGGTCTACGCCGATAAATTTTTTCGCCAAATAGCACCAATATGTTCGCCTCAAATTAATGATAATTTTCAGATTTAGTTTTACGTATTGCAGTTTGTGTTGGTATTTAAGATGTATAATCACAATTTGGAAATATACTACCAAAACAAAATTGTTTATATTAGAATAAACACTCGTGTGTGTAAAAGTACAAAAGGAAAAAGACTAAAGAAAAAATAAATTTTTCTCGGAAATATGTTCAACAAAAATTATAGGGTCTCATAAAGTAATAAAAGATGAAAAGAGATAGGCACAAATCGGTGTTGAAGATGAAAAAAATGTCCTTTTTGGATCTTTCAGGGGATCCGTTTTAGTAAATCGCACAAAACAATAATAGTGCTTATTATGCTTTGTCGTCCGTCGTATTCGGAGCAAATTTTTATAGGTGACGACCCGGTTTAATGTTGAAATCTAGAATTTCATCAGAAATGTACGTTATTATCTAAAATAAAGATTTTTTATCTATATATTTCAGTAGCAAATAAATATAAGGATTATTAATATAAACAATGTGGTATGGTAATTAGGAATTCTTATAACTTGGGTGCATTTTTTACTTTCCTGAAAAGTAGCGACTTTCTCATAAATACAAAATCTATTAAGAAAAAAATAAAGGATTGTCTAGGAGACACTTAATACACACAGTAGACGGCGTATTGGATACTAACTTCAAGACAGACTCGTCTTGCGGGTTCCTAATTGGCCATCAGATTGAAAATTACAGAAGCAAAAAGATAAAACAAAACAATGTTGGGTTGTATAACCATATAAAAACATTCATTTCCAGTTTAACCGAGTCTACGCTTATAAATATTTTCACTAAATGGCTATACTATGGTTATACTACTAGTCTACTATGGTATAATGGTTATACTACAAAAACAGGGTTGTTTATATTACAATAAATACTTCTATTTAAAAGTGAAATTGGAATGAGACAAAGGGTAAATTTTTCTAAGAAATATGCTGAACAAAAATTATGGTTGGAATTGATAAAGTAATGAAAAATTACAACAGATTCGTTAGAAATCGGTGTTGAAGATGGATAAGAAAAATTACAAGCAATTTCTGATTTTTCAGGTGATCGGTTTTAGTAAAACGCACAAAGCTGTAAAAAATTTTCCTTAATTCAGAGATTGTTAACTCATCGGTAATCTGATTAGGACTGAAGCTAAGAAAAGCATTCGCTATAAAAAAGGCAAAAACCAATTCTTGCGTGCGTTGTATACGAAAATTACCGCGCGCGTACAAAATGTTACACCGTCCGTCATCTTCGACAAAAATTTTTATATGTGTGAATTGAATTCTAGAATTCAATCTGAAATTTACGTTATTATTTGGAAAAATGTTGGAACAATCAGTAATAAATAACTATAAGGATTATTACTATAAATAATATGGTTTAATGGTAATTAGGTACTTGGGTGCTGTTTCACTCTCCTGAAAAGTAGTGATTTTCTCATTCGATATAGTAGTTATTGTTATTGATAATTCAGAAAACAGATATCGATAAATAAAATCTATTAAATAAAAAAGCAAAGGGATTGTTGCGGTGACCCTTTGTAAATATATCTTGAAAATTTATAAATTATATTTTTTCTATATTTTTTGGTAATCTTGTCATTGGAATTGTAATAGTGTAGTTGGGTCATTTTGATCAGCCTTCGCTGTTTTGACGTCATATAAGCGTTTAGCTGTCCGCTAACTTCAGTTGCTGGTCTATGTGTTATTTTTGTTAAGAAATTTACTTTTGTACGTTTGGTTAATTAATTTCTTTTGTATGTCTCGTTTAGTTATTGTGTTCATCAGTTCGTGTATTTTTAATTTGTGTTGTGTTTTAAAAGGTCTACATGATGTGTTCAAACTTAAGTTTCCTTGTATTGAACGACCTTTGTATATTTCGACGTTCAAGAGGTGATCTCACTCTATTAAATTTTTCTTCGTATAAATGTTAGAAATTTTCAACGTTTCAACTTAAAATTGTCATGTTTGTTCGTTTCCGTTTGCTTTGCTTTTGTATCAATAATGGAAAATGACTCACAGACGGTGAAATTGAGTGTGGATAATATCCTTTGTCGCCGTCCAACCTGTCCGGCAGGAAATAATACGGCCTTTGGGTTTCCTTATAACCGGTGTACTGTATCATATCTCTTCCAGGGTACGACTGAAGAAGCTGTGATGAGTTGTAGGCGTGCCGGGGGAGAAACACGCCCCCACAACACCCCCACTAGCCGCCGATTGGGCGGTTAAATTGAAGAGGGTGGTTGTGTGATGATTATCTCGGCCAGGCCGGCATTTTATAGCCGTCGATTAATCTGCAATGAGTAAAAAATTTGATACGTTTCGTAAAATATGGCTGTAATAATTGAACAGTCAAACAGAGAGGAACGACCACGTAGGATAAAACAGAAGTTGGTTTCTTGTTAAAATTTTGATGACACCTTTGTGTAATATTGGACTGGACCACAATTGCAATAATACAAACCAAAGCGTACAAAGAGGGTGTATTTTAAAGTTGTAGTGGAGGTTATCAACCTGTAGCAAATTATGTTACGTATTGCATCTTCAGGAGGTCAGATGACGGATGAAATAAAAGAATAAGTAAAGTCGTGGGTTCGAATCCCGCTCGTGACACTGACTTTTTTATCTCAAGTAAAAACCTTAATTAATTGAAAGATATTAATTGGTCAAGCAGACCACGAAAACTAGTGAATAAAAGAACAAGGAATAGCTTCCGGGTTCAACCGCGCTTTACCGAAATCATGCGACAATCCCAAAAACACAGATCACGCCTCCGAAGATCCGAACTTCGAAGCGAGCTGGCTACATGAACAACGACAGCTGTATAACGACTTATAAAGCCCAATCTCAACGCTTCAGTTCGGTCTTTATTATGCTAATAATGACACATACATAAATTTAACCAATCTTGTGTAATATAAAAATGATGCACCCTCGGGGTGGCTGGATAAGTCAATAAACACAACCTTTCAGGTTTACTATTATGAAATTTGGACCTTTGGTAAAAATAAAATTATCAAAATGTTGGAAAGTGTCTAAAATAGCTTTTAAAGAGTAGTGGTTTCAACTTAATCAATGTTACACAGTCTGTCATACATACAGGCTTACTGGAATATGGAATGTACTCGATGGTGTTGAGTGAAGGTTGTACAAGTTTACAGTTTTAAAAACAAATCTATTAATAAAAAAAAATTAGGCTTGTAACGATCGTTCCAATATTGTAAATAGAATTTCATTTTATTAACTTTGAAAATTATTTGTAATAGTTTCTAAGCCCCGATGAACGGCCGAAGGAACTGAGGTTTTCTTTCTAGTTGACCTTATCCCTGATTTTTAATATAAAAAAAGTTTACGATGATATCGATTACGTACAAACTAGAGCATTAGAGTCATAAAAACATTTATGATCATATTAATTAACCTTGTAAATTATTTATAGCTCAATTCCATCAATTTCCTGGTGAAGGTGATTCATTCCTCAAAAGTTGTGTTTTATTTTAAAATTATTATTTCTGATTATTAATATAAGACAAAGGTTCTTATAATGTAAAAAATAAACCATTAGGCCCGTATGTTATTTATCATCATTTTACGAGTCTCCTCTTTTCTACATAGACAATACATTTGCAATGAAAAGGTGAAAACAAAAACAAATCATCAATTATTATCTAGTTAATGAAATTAACAATACCAAATCTAATTGATGAATTCTGAGTTATGCAAAATAACCAACATATTGCTCTCAAATAAATCTAATTTTAAAACCTTTCTGATAGGTATGAAATTATCAAAAACACCGATTCTCTTTTATTTGCTTTTTAACATTAATAGAGAAAATTTCTTGTGAGATCAAGTACAAAGATTAAATCATTATCTTGCGTTTTGTGTCCATGTATTGTATATCGATTGATAACAATATAGTCTATCATGTCTTATTGTTTTTCGTCTATAGTTTTGTATTAATTTTCAGTGGGATCTTTAAATTTGTTATGCATTTTTACACAACGTCACTATTATTACATAAGACAAGGCAAAGCCACAATTCAAACCGTCTGCCAATAAATGATAGTAAAACTGACGACTGTTCAGTTTTACTCTATAGTGGTTCTCTTTAACGCACAGATAAAGGTCTGAAAAGCTTTTTAAAAACAGAAGCACCTCTAAAGCGGTTGAAAGAAGAAGCTACCTAAAGTCAAAACATCCTTAGCTCTGATTTATGCTTTCCAAAGCTAATTTGTTAAGTCCCATGATGCGTTTTGAATCCACTGTCACACATGCTTTCCATTAATGCTACTCGATGTCCTGCGATGGTCCTCGAAGTGGGAAAAAACCGAAAAGGTTCACACTTAACCGAGACCGTAAAATGGATGGTGTCGGTGGTCTGAGCGTTTATAATTGAGAATGCGTAAAATTTCTATATCTGGCGTTTGGATGAACTCTTATCGGCCACCCCATCGCATTTAGGTCCGCCTATTTTCGCTGTTTGTATTTGCCAAAAGGTTTCGCCATCGTGAAATAATGTAATTAACGACTCTTGGACAAAAAATGGATAAATTTCAATCTCAATTCACACATAAAAATCAGAACAAATGTAGAGAATGTACAATTTTGTCCAATTTTAAAAAATAAATCTATTAATAAAAAAGATTTTGACTTGTAACAATATGTTCCAACATTGTAAATAGAATGTCATTTTATTAACAATGCAAATTATTTATAATAGTTTCTAAGTCCTGATGAAGGGCCGAAGGTACTGAGGTTTTCTTTCTAATTGACCTTATCCCTGATTTTTGATATAAAAAAGTTTACGATAATATCGATTTCGTACTATTTAGAGCAATAGACTCATAAAAATCATGAAATAAACACAAAAATCAGAACAAATATAGAGAATGTACAATTTTGTCCAATTTAAAAAAATAAATCTATTAATAAAAAAGATTTTTACTTGTAACGATACGTTCCAATATTGTAAATAGAATGTCATTTTATTAACTTTGCAAATTATATATAATAATTTCTAAATCCTGATGAAGGGCCGAAGTTATTGAGGTTTTCTTTCGAATTGAACTTATCCATGATTTTTAATATAAAAAAAGGGTACGATAATATCGATTACGTACTATTTAGAGCAATAGAGTCATAAAAATCATGAAATAAGCACATAAAAATCAGAACAAATATAGAGGATATACAATTTGGTCCAAATTTAAAAAATAAATCTATTAATAAAAAAGATTTAGACTTGTAACGATACGTTCCAATATTGTAAATAGAATGTCATTTTATTAACAATGCAAATGATTTATAATAGTTTCTATGTCCTGATGAAAGGCCGAAGGTACTGAGGTTTTCGTTCTAATTGACCTTAGCCATGATTTTTAATTTAAAAAAGTTTACGGTAATATCGATTACGTACTACTTAGAGCATTAGAGTCATGAAATAAACACAAAAATCAGAACAAATATAGAGAATACAGCAATTGATATAAAACGTTGATATAGAAGAGAGAAAATTAGTAACTTTTATTCCTACATACATTCTGAACGCCTACGAAAACCAAAGTTAATTTCATACATGGTAATAATATTAATTTAACTTAGTCAATATGTAATGTTTTCTAGACAAAAATAACTATATGGAAGATATTCATTTAGATAAACAATATAACAAGAAATTGATCGAAAATAATTATTATTACTTTTCATGATATAAGCAATCCGGCCGCACTTGATGTTCATGTGCATTTTGATAAAGTTTAAAGTATTTCTTTTTTGGGTTATTTACTTTTAATCTTTGATATAAATTCATATATGTATTTAGTAGTGATAATTGACCTATTTTATTTTAATTAATTATACTTTTAATCTAAGGTCTTGGTTGAGATGAAAAAGCAAGCGTTTTGATATAAATGTTTTTCGTCATCGTTGACGTGAAAAATTTGTTTTGAAATAATGCGTCGAGAAAAATTCGCCCCATTGTAAATTCAAGGTGTTGTGTCTATATGACGTCGGATGAATTTCCAATCCGGTTTAAATATAGTAGTATATATAGCATATCTACAACAGGAAGAATAAACACAAATAGATTGGATTGTTTTACAAAAAAGTTTCCTTAGCCTTACAAAATCAAAACAACTGTGATGTTTTGCCCTGGCGTAGTGTGTACGACTTGTGGTCTGTGAATGTAATTTATTAGCGCAAATGTGGGGGTTTGCTACCAATTATCCTGATGGAATATTGAGAACTCTGGGGTAGTGTGAATGCTAACCAGAATATCATGTTTCATCTTGTTTCTGTGTATGTTATTTTATACACAATTGACAAGGCCTTGAGGTATAGAGAGGCTAGCTGTAGAATAAATAAAAGAGTGATTGGTTACCGTTATGTTATATAACATCATCTTGGCTGGAGAAACATGAACACGAGAGAAACTTAAGGAAAGGAAAGCAAAGAAAGATAGGGCTGGCGATGACCAATGTACAATAGTAAGAGGTATTTGTTTAAACCCATTAATAAAAAATCGTAAACCATTTCAGAAATTGTTTCGAACAATAAACACTAATGAGAAAAAATTAACCAAATCATGAAAACTACCAGGAAGAATTGTCTTCATCTTCAAAAGAAACTAGTAACTTCAGCGTACAAAGTTAAAGGTGAAAACAGTAGATAAAATGTCTCATAACGTGTTTCCAGAAAGCAAGGAAGATTGTTGACTCCCCACACGACATTTATTTACTGTCAATTTAAATATTGTTGTATAGTATACAGAAAGCACAATTATATAATAAAAATAAACGTTAATAAAGAAATAGTGTTGTTAGTCAAAAGTAAATTTGATTTTTTCCGAACTACCAACGATATGTTCCATATATTTTACTACAACATGAAAAGACATATTTTTTATATGATTAAATTACATTGTTTTTCCAGCTAAAAAATGGCAACTAGCTAAAACCATTATATTAAAAAAATTCAACAGTTTGAGTAAATTATTAGCGTGAATGGGGGGGGCTATACCCTACCCGAACAATATCGAGTACTCTGAGTGTGATGTTTAGAGAAGGAAAGCAATTATTAGCGTGAATAGATGGTTTTTTCGCTGGGAGATTGCGTTGAGGTTCCTCGATGCACTGATCCGTTTTTGCTTACTCACAATGTCAACCAACGAGATACCAAGATAAGAAAACACGAA